ATGTAGCCAGTCCTCCAAGAGTTTACAGAGCTCTTCTTACAGGAGCTACTGTAAGCTCTTGGAGGATTGGCTACATTATGGGTGTGTCGCTTAATATGCAAATGAGTACCTGCTACAAAAAGAGCCAGACCGACCCTGCTCAGCTTCTGGGATCTGATGAGATAAGGCCATCCTGGGCCAGCCTATACTCCCTGAACAGAAAGGGTGATAATGCTGCATATATCACCTTTTGGAGCCAGTTTGGTGTAGTGGTTACGTGTGCGGACTCTAATCTGAGAAAACCGGGTTTGATTCCCCACTCCTCCACTTGCACCTGGTGATGTGACCTTGGGTCAGTCACAAGCTCTGGCACAGCTGTCCTTGAAAAAGAGCAGTTTGTGTCAGAGCTCTCTCAGCCCCACCCACCTCACAGGGTGTCTGTTGTGGGGAGGGGAAGGGAAAGGAGTTTGTAAGCCGCTCTGAGACTCCCAAGTGAAGGGCAAGGTATAAATCCAATCTCTTCTTCTCTTCTTCTTCTTCTTTTGCTCCTTGAGGGACTGAAATGCAGGAAAGGGATGCCAGGGCAAAGTTGTGCATGGTTTGTGCATTCAAATAAATGCTTCCGGTCCACTGCTGCACCACTTAAACCAGACTTCTCTGCAGAAGCGGAAGTCTGTTCCTAGCATCGAGTTCTTCATTTTCGGGGGGTTTTGTTAACTTTATTCAAGTCTGGATCTTTAATTAGCTGGTCTGTTTGATCTTCTGCCTCTGGTGCCATTAATACGGCCTCAGTATCAAAGAAGGTCCCCCCTCCTACCCAGGAGATTAATGATTGTCCCGTCTGGCTATCTGCTTCTGGCGCCTCGGAAAGGAAGTGAAGCCCGATTTCTACTTTGTTCATTAGCTGAATCCCAACTTGCAGGGCTCACTAGTGGCTTTTATTCATTGGGGGGAGTTTATGATCAAAAGACTCGTCTGAGCGCCTGTGTCTAATCAATTTTGCATTTCTTGTCATCAGGAAAGAGCCCCATAAAAATCAGAGAAGCGCTTCAAAGTCTCTCAGCGTCTTCAAACCAGTTCTTAATGGGTGAGCCACAAACAGAGAAGCAGTGTAGGGTGAAGTTTCCCCTAGAATCTGAATGGCTTTTCTTATTTTCCCTCACGAAATCCAAGTTTTACAGTTTCTACAGGCCAGCTTAGTCATCTTGTCCCCAGCCAACTTACTCAACCTCAGTATTGTGACATGATTAGGGGTGTGCATTCAGTTTATCCAAGCTGAACCCCCTCCCAATACCCTACCAGTATTTTGGGGGTATTTTTTTAGCTGGATATCAGCTGGGGTATTTATCTGGCTATCCGATATCGCCGAACCCTAAAAAATCCCAAAAATATTTGGGATTTTTCAGGGCCACCAGATAGCTAGCGTGTTTAAAGGAGTTGTAGTCCCTTTAAAAACCTTCTGGGAGAAGCCACAGCTTGGAGAAGGTATTTAAAGGGACCGCAAGCCCTTTAAATGCCTTCAGAATTCAGCTGCGGCTTGCAAAAGGCATGTAAAGGGACTGCATTCCTTTTAAATGCCTTTCCCCCCCTCCATTTGATACAATGGAAGATGGGGGCACCTTCTTCTGGGGCCCACAGAATTGGACCCCTGGTCCAATCTTTTTGAAACTTGGGGGGGCGGGTTTGAGGAGAAGCACCAGCAGCAATGCTGCAAATTTGGTGCCTCTACCTCAAAAAACAGCCCCCACAGAGCCCCAGATACACCCAAATTCTCCATTATACCCTAAGAGGACCATTGACTATAATGGTCCTCATGGGGTATAATGGAGACAAAGAAATTCAACAATCTCAAATATATACCAAATACGAATACCATACTATTATTGGGATTTAGGAATATTAGGAAATACTGATATTTTTGGGTTCAATATATCCAACCCCCAAAAAAACTGTTTTTGTGGTTTTTTGCACACACTTAGACATGATTGAGCTCCGGGCCAGCCCATTAATGATGGAACCTAAAGAAGTTCCCTCCGGTGGAAGGGTGTTTTGTGGGAGGCTGTCACTTATCCTGCCATGCCCTGAATAGTCCAGTCTAGCCCAATCTTGTCAGATCTCAGATGCTAAGCCGGGTCGGCCCTGGCTGGTACTTGGATGGAAGACCACGAGGGAAGAGCAGGGTCCCTATGCAGAGGCAGGCAATGGCAAACCACCTCTGACCATCTCTTGCCTTGAAAACCCTATGGGCCGGCTGTGACTAGAAAGCAAAAACAAAAAAAACCCCAAAGTCTCAGTTAATTACTCTTAGCACTCTACAATTAAGAAGGATACATTTACACATCTATCTCCAATTTTGACACATTTATTTGCTTCACTGTCCCCCCCCAGAATTAAATCCAAACAATGGTGACCTTATAAACTTAAGCTTGTTATTCCTGTTTGCATCTCTTAAAACATCTTGATTTGTTGTATGCTGATTTGCTGTTCAACTTCTGACTTATGTGTACTGTATCTGAGGAAGTATGTGAGCACACGAAAGCTTACACTTTGAATAAAATTTTGTTGGTCTTAAAGGTGCCACCGGAGTCAAACACTGTTCTTGATGCTACACGTGTACCGATAGATCACCACATGTTAGGGTTGCCAGCCTTCAGGTGGGACCTGGAGATCTCCTGGAATTGCAACCGATCTCCAAACAAGAGAGAACACTTCCCCTGGATAAAATTTATTTATTTATTCCATTTCTTCTGGAGCAAAGGGCTGCTTTGGGAGGTGGAGTGCTTGGCGTTATACCCTACCAAGGCCCCTCCCCTCCCTAAACTCTCAAGCTCCACTCTCAAATCTCCAGGTATTTCCAAACCTGGAGTTGGCAACCCCGCCACCTACGGTGCCCAGTGAATTGTGATTTGCACTGAGAAAATGATGCAGGAAGAAAGGTCTTAAAAAAAAAGGGACCAGTGTTGCTGCCCCAATCCTGACCCTGCTCACCTGGAAACTGTTATTAACATTTTTTTAAAAGTAGGAGATGATGCAATAGCCTAGCACCGCCTCACATTCGCTCTTTAGAATGGTTTTCATGTAGTGAAGAAGACAAATATGTCACTGAATTGCAACCGACTCATGGTGACCACAGCCATGGAGTGTTCTGGGTAAAAGCCAAGTGGAGGTAGTTGACCATCGCCTTCCTCTGCATGGCAACCCCGGTCTTCCTTGGTGGTCTCTCAGCCTGTACTGTCTGTGGCCAACCCGGCTTAGCACCCAAGCTCAGATGAGCTCAGGCTAACCTGGGCTATCTTGGCTGCTTGCAGTACAGGAACAGCCTGGAATTTGGAGCGGGAATTTAGGCTTTGTGGAGGTTTAATCACTTCCTGAATCTCTAACACACTGAATGGCTTTGAGTGTTCATAGTTTACATAAAAAGAGTTGTACACTCATGAAGGAAAAGGCACCCAAATAGGGATGCCGGTTACAGGTTGGGAAGTACCTGGAGATTTTAGGGGTGGAGCCTGAGGAGGGTGGGGTTTGGGGAGGGGAGCGACCTCAGCAGCATACAATGCCATAGAGTCCACCTTCGAAAGCAGCCGTTTTCTCCAGGGGAACTGATCATCACCTTTAGTAAAGGTAAAGGTTCCCTTGCTCGAAAGCCAGTCGAATCTGACTCTAGGGTTGCAGTGCTCATCTCCATTTCCAAGCCGAAGAGCCAGCGCTGTCCACAGACTTCTCCGTGGTCATGTGGCCGGCATGACTAAACACCAAGGCGCATGGAACGCTGTTACCTTCCCACCGAAGTGGTCCCTATTTATCCACTTGCAATTTCTTGCTTTCGAACTGCTAGGTTGGCAGGAGCTGGAACTAGAAACGGGAGCTCACCCCGTCTTGCGGCACCCGGGTCTTGAACTGCTGAACTACTGACCTTCCACAGCCTGCAGTTCAGCGTCTTAACCACTTGAGCCACCGCATTCTATCTATCTATCACCTTTAGATAGCCGTAATTGAAGGAGGTCTCCAGCCACCACCTGGAGGTTGGCAACCCTGCACCCAAAGCAGAACTTGGGGGGGGGCTTGCAAACATCACATTGCAAGTTAAACAACCCCCACCCCTACAGTAACCCTGATTTTTGCCCCGCGGTGTGAAAGAAATTAACAACCAGCTGGTCTTGTAGATGAACAGGCTCATTAATGGGCAATCCATAAAGCGTTCTCTCATCGCAGAGTGTAAATATATCTCTGCGGTGCTACTAATGGGTTTATAGATCAAACTTGCAGCTCTTCATTGCTTTAGGATACCTATAAAATGTGTCGAGGGAGAGGAATCACAGCATCTGTCTGCTCTGGAGGGGACAGCCATCTATCATATGCTACAGTTCCTCACTCCAAACAGCCATAAAAGGCCTGACCTTGAGCTACTAACTAATCAACGCAATGCTTAAAAAGGACAGATGGACCATGGAAGAAAAGAGTGATTGCTAAGACAGTTCACTGGAGGAGAATGAATTTGGGTAGAAGCGAAACTTTGGCATTAATGGGGCTACTTTTAAAAAGTCTGGAATGTTAGGGATTTGGGATATCCAATCTGACATGGAGAATAATTTGAAAAACAACTTCTGTTGGCGCCTTTTAGAACTACACTGAACCCTTCTTGGCACCTTGAATTCTTGCTCTCCTTTTGGGTAACATAGATGTTCCCACTGAAATCATTTTAGGTTATGTAAACAAATGGAAAACAAATGAAAGCCTGTTCCACGTGTGTACTTTACCCTCGGATATACAATCATGTTACCGTGTTTCTGATTTTTCATTCCACAACTCATTTTTTCCATGTAAGGTCAACGATGGCATTTCGACAGCTTTTTGTGATTTTTTAAAAGAGCACTTATAGGACAATTTTATTTTCGAGCCGATTGCAAGTCAGCTTGATTCCATGTGTGAAATGCTTTTTTGCAAGCCAATTCCAAAACTTGGAGATTGACCACACAGAAGATCAGGAGTAAGGTCAGTATGTGGAACAGGCCCCAGTCTAATTGCAGCAGCTGAAATCCCAATAGCCATTTCCCAATATTCACTAGTTAGAGTGCAATCAAAAATATTTACACAAAAAGATCAGGGGAGGGAGAAGAAGAAGGAGAAGAAGGAGAAGAGGAGGAGGAGATTGGATTTATACCCCCCCCCCTTCGCTTGGAGTCTCAGAGCGGCTTACAAACTCCTTTCCCTTCCCCTCCCCACAACAGACACCCTGTGAGGTAGGTAGGGCTGAGAGAGCTCTGAGAGAACTGCTTTTTCAAGAACAGCTCTGACAGAACTATGGCTTGCCCAAGGTCATCCAGCAGCTGCAAGCAAGGGAGGGAAGGATATGGAACAGGAGTAATACAGTGAAATGGATGGATGGAGGGGCGGACAGCACAGAAGTAATAGGGTTTTAGGGGGTCGAATGCTTACCAGTTGTAGGGGAGCTTCCCATCTCTCTCCAGTGAAGCAAAATTGACAAAAGTTCCAGCTCCACACTCCCTGTTTTAGGAAGTCCACAAGGTTATTACCGGAAGATATAAAGCCATGACAGCATAAACTCAACAGCCGTCTCCCGGGGCTTGGGAAAGAGATACTGGACCATTTCTGCTCTGTAGATCAACATACTGATCCAGGAAGGGAGGTCCTGCTCCCATATTTTGGATGCCTAGCTAGCTGAGACTAACCCTAGACAGATATTATACTTAAATTCAGGAGGCTATTACGGTGTGTTTTGCAGCTTTTGGCAGGAGCAATGACTAGAGGCAAACTGTGGCTAAATTCCATCTGTCCCTGTCTTTCCATCTGTTTCTGTCGTTCTTTAGCTTATGCATTTGACCCTGCAAGGAACATCGCAAAAGCCGTCATACAAATTGTTTGCTAATAAAATGGAGAAGAGTGGGAGGCATTACCCGTATTTTCACAGCTGTACTTATAAGAGGAGCAAAGCATGCATAATCCAATTTACTACTCCAAGTGTGCATGTTTCACCTGCAATTTGTAATGTACATCAAATACATCCTGGTTAATAAAACGCCATGTCTGCAGGGGGAACCAATTAGCACTCCCCCCCCCCTTAAGTGATGCTTTGAAATGAAATTACATAGATTCCTAACCTTGAAAGGAAGGAGAAAATTAGAGCTGCGATTGAAAGGGAATAACGGGTCCTAATCCTGAAAATCTTTCATTTATGGAGTGACTCCTTGCGCAGAGCAATGTTTGCAAAAACACCAGTTTGATTTAACTTGCCAAATGGGGTGCAGGTTGGTCCACAGGATGCAACCATATGGTGCAGTGACAGAGATGCAAAGAAGACTGTCACAAAACGAGGGGGCGAGTAGATCAGTTTTTAATTTATTTAGACATTTATACCCCAGTTTTCTCCCCAGTGGGGACCCAAAGGATCTTACCACATCATTCTTCCCTTCTCCATCTATCCTTATATCAGTAATGTTGGAGTGAGTGACACAGCACGCCTGGACACTAGGGGGCGCTACATCACTCTAAGTGTGTACAGGTGTTATCTCCTTGACTGGGATACCTCTCTTCGTCTTTACCTAGGAGCTGCCCTCTGACCCCTCCTCTCTCACTTTGTCCTCTCACTCTCCACATGTAGAAAAGAGCAGGAGTCCAGTAGCACCCTAAAGACTAACAAGATTTGTGGCATGGTATGAGCTTTTGTGAGTCACTGTCTACTTAGTGACTCATGAAAGCTCATCCCCTGCCACAAATTTTGTTAGTCTTTAAGGTGCTACTGGACTCTTGCTCTTTTCTGCTGCTACAAACAGATCTATCGCTTCACATGGAGACACATGTCTCTGCAGGTCTCTCCTGTAGAGACAATGCCCTCATACTCCCACACACATGATGCCGGACAAGCTGGCCATTCGTCACAGGGAAAGTACCCTTTAGCTTAGGTTTCTCTCTCTCCTTTCGACTGCAACCTGAATGTGAATCTGGATCTACTTTTTTTGCAAGCCAAGAGTCAGTTTGGTGTAGTGGTCAAGAGTGTGGACTGGGAGAACTGTGTTTTCTTCCCCCACTCCTCCACATGCAGCTGCTGGAGTGACCTTGGGTCAGCTACAAGTTCTCTCAGAGCTGTTCTCTCAAGAGCAGTTCTCTCAGAACTCTCTCAGCCCCACCTACCTCCCAGGGTGTCTATTGTGGGGAGAGAAGGGAAAGGAGATTGTAAACTGTTCTGAGATTCCAAGTGACGGATGGGGTACAAATCCAATCTTCTCCTCCTCCTCCTCCTCCACCTCCACCTCCTTGAATAAATGTAAGTTTACCCTTTTTTTGCAATATACATCTTGGGAGTTTTATTTCCTGCACTCAGTATCACGCTTCTATGACTTGGCAAAACTCTGCTATGACTGCGGTCACACAGAACATTAGCCACGCTAGAGAGACGGAAGTTAGGCGGAGTTTCCGGGCGTGATCTCACCGGCACATCTGGGAAGCGTAGCGCTTCCGTGGCTCAACCGAGGCTTCCCGCCGAAACCGCGCTGCAAAAAACTAGTACCTCGGAGGTACTAGTTTCCGGAAACTGCGGGGCAAGGGCGGGCGTCTGATCGCGTTTCCGGTGGCATCTGGCGCCCGCCCATGTCCCCTTGCAAACAAGGGGTTTTTTTTCCCGAGTCTCCGTGGATGCGCACAAGCACCCAACGGAGCATGCGCATTTTTGGTGTACACGAAAAAAAACACCCGTTTGCCGCACCGCGCGCTTCTTTGTTGTGCGCAGGATCGTCCTGTGATCAGCACCTCTCCCTTCCCACGGAACCTCCACGGGAGGTCTGATCCCTTAACCGCGTGTTAGTTTGCCCCGGGGCAAACAGCCACGCTTCCCCCCTGCAGTTTTCTGCCCATGTGACCGGAGCCAGTATTAACCAAATATCCCAAACAGTAACACTATGACATAGGTTAGGTTGAGAGAGTAAGCTTCCATTGCAAGGTTGAGATTCAGGGATCTCCCAGTTCGTAGACTGTCTCTCTAGCCACTACACCACACTAGTGCACAGTTTCCTAACCACTGCTCTTCTGCATGCATTCATACAGCTAAATGTATAAAAATAAATTCATTTCCTATTGCCTCCCATGAAGATAAAATTTAAAAAGAGGATAGGAAGAAGAGTTCATTTAAAACTGACTGTGTTGTAGCCATATTCCTTCAACAGATACCCTGGGCTCCATGAAACATGACATTCGCCTTTGCACCCAATTACTCCACCGTAACTGGCGTCAGAAGATCAGTTGACCTACCTGGCCATTTGTAGATGTTTTCTCCGAAGGACTACAAGAGTTACAAGCAGCAGCCCGATCAGAAGAATGCTCAGGATGGCTAGTACTGAGATCACCACCACGTTGGGATTCATCTCCGTCACTGCAGGCACAAACACAGGAGCTGGGTTAATGAAAGCACAAGATACCAGAGCTACTACAATGAGACCAGAACATGTGAAGGACTACCTCTGAGTGGGCTAATTTCTGCTAACGATGGATCTTCCGAGGGTAGCTCCACATGTGAAAACGTGGATAACTTATCCCCATCTTCAGAGAGTGGTATACACACACTGGCATGCCAAACCCAATCAAAACTCAGAAATGTGCACACAGGTATGAGAACATGGAGTGAGCCACATTCTCCTTCAGCCAGGAAAGACATAAAACCACGCCAAAAATACCAGGTGCCATCAGGAGGTCCACCAGTGGGGCCAGGACACTCGAAGCCCTACCACTGTTCCCCCCCCCCCAAGCACATAAAGTATGTCCTCTTTTTTGCTTTTCAAAATATAGTAACCCTAGGAAACAACATTTGCTTATACAAACTTTCCCCCAGAATATCCCCCAATTCATTCTTTCAGTAAGAAGCAAGTTTAAGATGGAACGTATCAGCAACTGGGTCTTGGTAGTTCTTTTAACAGGGAAGAATGCAGGTGGATTTGGATAAGCAGAAACCGTCTGGAAAAGGTCTCCCTCAGTACAAAGGCAGCCCAAGACAAATTCAAATGTTCCCTCTCCCCAAAGGCAGCCAAAATCCGGTGATAAAACAGAATTACATCCTTCCAAGTCAGTGGGTAAACACTGTAAATCTCTCTTAAGTTGCTGTCCTTTAAGGGTATCCCAAAATTCATCATCTGCTTCACCCTTCTAAATGGAAGGTTCATCTGTCTTCTGGATGCCACTGATAGTTTCTTAAGACAAGGGAAAGTGCACACAGACAGGAAACGTTTATCCATCACAGAATGTCAGCCAGATTCCTAAAGAATTCAGAAATAAAATACCCTTGAAACCTTTCCTTCCTAAAGAATTGCATCAGTGGCATTTTTACAAGCCAGACGCCTCTACCGTTGAGGAAGCTGTAGCTTTGGTTAAAAATACACAGATCTGGAGGATGAGAAAGAATGAAGAAAAGGAAACAGAAACTGTTCTTTTGGGAAGAAAGTGAGTCAGTTTTGGGTCAGTTTTGATAGGCGTCAGTATAACCTGAGATGAGGCAGCTCCAAGGGCTCCTGGTGGGGCCCACTACTGCTGTGACCCCCCACCCACGCACCTCCCCTGCCACCTGTCTGCATGCCCTTCCCCATCTGTTTGCTTGAAGTGCTCTGCCACCCTTGGTCCCAAATGCCCAGCATCTCTGAGGAAAGGCAGGGGAGTCACAGAGACAATGTTGCAGGGGGCCATGGCGGCAGCACCCTAGTTGCCTGCACCAGCCAGCGATGTAGGGGAAAGGTATGCAGGTGGTGCAGATGACTGAGCATGGCCACTGGGAGGGCATACGAGTGTAGGGTTGACATTTGTCCATTGGGCGCAGGGAATCCCTCAATTTTGTGGGCACAAGGCTGGCGGGAGGGAATCCCCCCAAACAGCAATATTGCATGCCTGCATCACTTGGAAGTGACATTGGTACGTTGGCAATGTCAAGGGGTGAGGCTCTGGGTTTTGAGCAAAACTCTGTGGTTTGAGGCCAATTTCACCATAGATGTGCTTATGTCTCCCAGAAGTGAAGTAGGCATGGCATGTGATGTCACTTCTGGTGACGTTGGTAAGTCAGCGGCAACGCTTCTGGCTCCCAGAGCATCCCCCCATCTCCCTGCCGGCGTCTCAAAGGGACCTGACAACCCTATATGAGTGGGTGACAATGGGGGGCACATGGGAGAATCGAAAGGTATGTGGGGGCCTGCTGTTGGACAGATGGGACACCTACACAGAGTCTGTCCATGGTCCTTCAAAACCTGGAACGGGCGCTGGGTGAAACTCTGGAAGACTGAAGGAATAATCCCCCCTCCCCACTCCATGTGCTGTCCCAACCTAAACTGAGGTCACATGCAGCTAATGTTGACAGTTCCCTCTTGGCAACCAGCAGGGGAGGGGGAAACTTACCAGGAGAAAGAAGAAGGCCTAGGCCACATCACTGGCCTTGCACGGGAAGAGATGTCATCATGCCAGCAACTTCTGGGTGATGCTCTGGTACTTGGGCAAAAACTCTATGGTAAAACCGGCTTCTACCATACAGTTTTTGCTCAAATACCAGACTGTTGCCTGGAAATCACTGGTGTGATGATGTCACTTCCTGTGCTACACTGGATAAATGGCCTAGGCCTTCTTCTTTCTACTGGTAGGTCCCCCACCAGCCAGCTGATTGGCAACTGGGAGGCAGGGCCTGGCAGCAGGGGACCCCCACCTCCACCGGGTGGTCTAACAACCCTACATGCAGCTGCAGTTTACTTATCAAAAACGGTGGTTTTTATTGCAGGAAATCTGCGAGCAGAGCGTGGCTAGAGTGGGCATTTTCCACCTTCTCCTCCTGTTGCATCCCAGAGCATTCCCCTGGATTTTGCTCCTGGAGTCGGAAGATCCTCACTAAGCAACTAAAGAGGAAAGGGGGGGGGGTGCTATGGAAGAGGAACTAGGCAGAAATAGCCCCTCCTCTCCTCCAAGGACAAACACTCTTTTGTCATCAGAAATGCTCTTTAGCAGTGAGCCTCAACCTTTTTGAGCCTGCAGGTCCTTTTGGAATCCTGACACAAGGTGGTGGGCCCAGCCACAAAATGGCTGCTGCAGAAGGCATACCGGGTCATACATAACTCCAGCAGTGACTCTTCAGCATTTCAGCCAGAAGCTTGTTGTTGTTTTTTAACAGGATGTCTTTTAAAATGAACATATTGTTTCAAAATGTTTTCTTGCATACACCTCCAGGCACACCGTGAAGATCCTTCTGCTGTGGCAGCAGATCTCCAATGGCCAGTCGAAAGCCCTGCTGGGAAAAAGCTCCGCCTGGCTCCACCCACTTTCTAAAAATGCTTGGCAGGTGCCAGGAAAGGTTCTGGCGGATGCCAGAGTACCCAAGGGCACCATGTTCAGGACCTCTGTACTTTGTAGTATATAAGCCCTCTTTTTTTGCCATCAAGTCACAGCTGACTTATGGCGACCCCGTAGGGTTTTCAAGGCAAGAGACATCCAGAGGTGGTTTTGCCATTGCCTGCCTCTGTATTCCTTGGAGGTCTCCCATCCAAATACTACCCACGGCCAACCTTGCTTAGCTTCCAAGATCTGACGGGATTGAGTCAGCCTGGGCGCTTAGGAGCATACAACCACAGGAATCTAGTTTGACCCCGAGGGGCAAACAAAGGACTGGAATCCAGCTTACCCATTGTGGAGACCGCAATGAAGGTGGGGACGCTGGGGCTGTTGTGGCTGAAGCTGGTAACGCTGCAGTTGTAGGATGTTGCTGGTGAAAGGCTGGAGATTGTCACTACATGTGAAGAAACAGTCACAGGTTCCTAAATGTATCAGGAGTAAATCCCAGTTAGAACTGAAGGGGTCATGAAGTTCAAAGATAACCTACTTATTTATTTATTTATTTATTTATCTATTCAACTTTTATCCTGCCCTTCTGCCGAAGCGGCTCAGGGCGGCTCACAACATTAATAAAACCAACATAGATAAAACATTAGTCCATAAAACAACTTACATAAATACAATAAATGTAAATAAAAGTGGTTCGGTAAATCATTACGACTGGACCTCGACCACACTGTTAACTACTTATACAAAATACATGTCTTAGGAGGTCGGCAGGCTTGGCTGGCATACCATCGCTCTCACTGATAAGCCCGGCGGAAAAGCTCCGTCTTCATGACCCTGTGAAATTGCTGGAGATCTCACAGGGCCTGGATCTCACTAGGGAGCTCGTTCCAATATGCTGGTGCAGCTAGCGAAAATGCTCTAGACCTAGTTGTTGTCAACCTGGCCTCTTTAGGGCCAGGAAGGGTCAGGCGATGTTGCATCCCAGATTTCAGTGCTCTCTGGGGAACTTATATTTAAGTTTGCGAGGTCCTTACCTGCTGCTGGCACGGGGATTTGGAGGGTGCCCCAGAGTGGGCAGGGACATCACTGAGTCAATGACATAACTTCCGGAAATGACATCATCGCATTGGTGACATCAGGGCGATGCTCTACTTTTTGGGCAAAACTCTATGGTAAAAATGGCTACAAACCATATTGTTTTGCCCAAAAAGTAGAGCATCATCCTGACTTCACCGATGTGATGATGTCACTTCCGGAAGTGATGTCATTGTGTCAACGACACTGATGAGGGACATCTTTTGGGGGGTGGGGTTTCCACCAATGGCCAGCTGGCCAATGGCGGACCCAAGCCCAGAAAAGCAGGGGATTTCCTGCCCCAACTGGGGGCTGGCCAGCCTACTCATATTTTATCTGAATGCGACGTTTCCATGTCCATAATAATTGTTTTAATTTTGGGTCAAGGTGCATCACAAGCTGTAATATCACCATCATTTTTGCAGTCTTTTGGAGGTAATTTCTAATGCCTTCCCCCCGCCCTTCTCCTGGAGTGATTCACATCAACAGCTTCTGTTCACAACACACACACACACAAATAAGTTTATCTCTTCTTTAGAAAGGCTCAGTGCTTAGTGGCTTGGCGGATGAGGCAAGGAATGTAACAAATTACCAGTTATTTACAGCAAGGATAGCAGAACTCTTGCTTTAAAACAAACGTTTTCCTCAAACCCAAGAATCAACGTGTATTGAAACGGGGCTGGCTTGTCTCCTGAGATATTTCCTTCAGTCCCCTCACAAGTCACTAATCCACTATTTCCCTAAGGCAACACAGGATACCTGCCCTATTCCTGCCTCTTCGTAGCCCCCTGAGTCCTATGGACCTATTCTGTAGATGTATTGAGTTCTTTTCCTTCACCAGGAGAAGTTAACTACCTAACTTATCCCCCAGTGGCTTTCCCTGTTTCTCTGTTGCTTCCCCAAGCCCTATCAGAGGCAATGACAGACTTTCCCTCCACTTAACTCTCTGCAGCCTCCCATCGCCTGATGCTGCTTAGTATCGGCCTTTTCCCCCATAGGAATTTGCTGGAATGCCTGGCCAATCTAGAGGCCATCCGTCACACTGCTCCATACCCATCCCTGTATTTTCTTTCATAAGAATCAAGCCGCATGCAAGAACATAGTTTTGGTCAGTCAATGGGTCCATAGATGGTGTGTCTGGGGGTGAAACAGGGTGGTAGGTGAAACGACCAAGCCGAATCACAAAGCATGGAGATTTCACAATGGACCGTGACCAATCTTTGGCTTTGTACCTATCAACAACGTGACTCATGTCATAGTGCAAACGGGACTGCTCGTGCCAAAGTCAAGGGAGATTTCCTAAATTAAGACACAGCAGAAAAAGAGGAACTTATGTAATCCTCTCCCTCAAAAGCATGAGCAAAAGGGGTCAACCGGTTCATACGATATAATCATCGAGGGAATGATAGGTCAACAGGCAAAAACCAATTGCAAAGTCGGCAACACAGTTTATTAGGGCAGCATCTCTTGATCAGAGGAAAGGGGCTCTGGTAAAGCATCATAGCTCAGTGGTAGAGAGTCCCAGGTTCAATCCTTGGCACCAGCAAATAAAAAGCATCAACTAGAAGATGATGTGACAGACCTTTATTAGTCAGACAGAGAACACAAGACTGATGCTGACAGGCCAAGGGTTTGACTCAGCATAAAAGACTATAGGTTTGTGTGTGAGTAAATCAGTCAACTGAAATGAATAAGATAGATGCAGGTAGGGTGGCCATGTTGGTCTAAGGCAGCAGAACAAAGTCTGAATCTAGCAGCACCTTTAAGACCAACATTTTATTCTGGGTATCAGCTTTCATATAAGCGTCCACAGGGCTTTTTTTGTAGACAAAGCCCAGCAGGAACTCATTAGCATATTAGGCCACACCCTGACAGCACCACTCATTAGCATATTAGGCCACACCCCCATGTTACCAGAAGTAACCTTTTGCTTCTTATTCTGTTTACCTTGTTTGTTGTCAACATCCAGGGCTTTTTTTTTGTAGCAGGAACTCCTTTGCATGTTAGGCCACACACCCCTAATGTAGCCAATCCTAATGAGTACCTGCTGTTGGGTGTGGCCTGTTATGCTAATGAGTTCCTGCTGGGTGTGGCCAACTCGGGAGCCAGCCGGAAATCCGTTCCTGTGCGTTCCTGCCCAAAAATAGCCCTGAGCGTCCATATAACCTTGTACCCAGAATAAAACTCTGTTAGTCTTAAAGGTGTCACTGGACTCAAGCTTTGTTCTGAAATGAACAAGGTTATTTTATCAGAATTTCTTTTTTCGGTTTTTGCGGACTGATCAGTTTAGGGTGGGGTTTTTTTTGTCTCTCTTTACACACAGAAATGAACAATTATTCTGATTTTTTCTTTTTTTTAAAGGAAGCTTGAATTGTATGGTAGTCTGCATGAGGGAAGGCCCTGAGGCTCAATGGTTTGCTCCGCCTGTGACAATTGTAGGGTTGCCAAATGGGCCCGGGGGGCAGGGAATCCCCCGCTTTGACGGCCCGATTTTTGACGCGACAAAAATCGGGCCCGGGGGAAACCCCACCCCCGCGTCCGCATCACCCGGATGTGACGTCGCACGCTGGGGGTGGGCCACAGCCATTTGAGGGGAAAACTCTATGTTTTCCCCTCAAATGGCCATGGCCCCGCCCCCAGCGTGCGACATCATATCCGGGTGACGCGCACATGGTGCGCGCGCACACACACCCCAGACACCAGCCGGGAGCCCCCCGCTCCCGGCTGAAAACAATTTGGCAACCCTAGACCATTGTATGATGCTAACATCTAGGAACCTTATTTCATTTCCGCTTTCTCATTTATGGCTTTTTCAGCTCTGGCTGGAGGACAAAAATTAAAAAAAGGGGGGGGGGAATTAAAGCTCCAGAAGCTGGATTCCAATTAAAACCGCAGGCTCTAATTGGTTTCGCCATTAAATGAAAGCTGTAATTGCAGAATAAAATTAGACCTTCAGATTTATCAGTGGGATGAAAACAGAAGGACGCTCTGCCCCACGGCCCACGCACTCGTGTCTGCCCCCGTCTCCTCCTCTCACCCAGATTAAAAAGAACAGAAATTTACTGCTGCCTTTTGCTTCCAGACTGCACCAAGAGCTAGCACCCATTTTGCATCTCTGCACCTAACTAGGGGCTGCAGTGGCTGATCCAACATTGGCGTCTCTGATGATGATGTTCTGATGTTGGTAGTTTGGCAGTTCGAGACCCGAGTGCCGCGTGATGGAGTGAGCTCCCGTCTCTGGTCCCAGCTCCTGCCAACCTAGCAGTTCAAAAGCAAGAAATTGCAAGTAGATAAATAGGTACCGCTTTGGTGGGAAGGTAACAGTGTTCCGTGCGCCTTGGTGTTTAGTCATGCCAGCCACATGACCACAGAAACATCTTTGGACAGTGCTGGCTCTTCAGCTTTGAAACGGAGATGAGCACCGCAACCCTAGAGTCGGATTCGATTAGCTTTCGAGCAAGGGAAACCTTTACCTTTCTTTTTACCTAACTAGAATGGCTTCCTTCCAGTTATCATGATTTGGATTGCTATTTATAAGCTACAACATCACACTCCCCTCCTCCATTTAATGCCTACAACAGCCCTGCAAAGTAGGCTAGGCAAAGTGTAAAGTATCGCTGTTCTTGTATCATGTTCTCGCACTCTATTCTGTATATATCTATTGCTGGTTTATGTTATATATTGTTTTTTTAATCTGTTATTTCATTGTTAAAATTTTTAAATTTAATAAAATATTGTGTGTGTGTGTGTGTGTGTGTGTGTGTGTGTGTGTGTGTGTAGTCACCCAGCAAGCTTCCATGGCGGAGTGTGGACATGAAGCCAGGTTTCTCTCCCAGATCCTAGTCAGATATGCTAACTCAGGGGTCCCCCAACGTGGTGCCTATGGGTGCCATAGCATCCGGCAGCACCACTTCTGGGACCCACCAAGTGTTTTGGGAAGTGGATGGGGCCAAATAGGGCAACCATAGAGGGACCAGATGCCAAGGAAGATAGAATAGCCAAACATCTAATGTTTAGGTGAGGGAATTGTATCAGGGGTAGCTTTCCTTGCATGACAAGCTGCACGTCCAAACTTTCTTTTGCCCAAGCATTGCATGCACAGAAGTCTGTATTTCTTTTGCATCTGGTCATAGGGTTGCCAACCTCCCAGTGGGGCCTGGAGGTCTCTTAGAATTACAACTGATCTCCAGACGACAGAAATCAGTTCCCCTGAAGAAAATGGCTCCTTTGGAGGATGGAGTCTATGGAATTATACCTTGTTTGTTTGTTTGTTTAAGAACATAAGAAGAGCCCTCATGGGACAGACCAGTGAGGGTCCATCTAGTCCAGCATCCTGCCTCACACAGGGGCCAACCAGTTCCTCTGGACAGCCAGCAACTGGACACAGAGGCCAAGGCCTTCCCCTGATGTTGCCTCCTGGCTCTGGGATTTAGAAGCTTAGCGCCGCTGAATGTGGAGGTTCCCCTCAGTCACCATTGAGAGACTTTATCTATCCTCCACAAATTGATCTAATCCCCTTTTAAAGCTGCTTATTCCTACGGCCACCACGGCATCCTCTGGCAGCGAATTCCACGTTTTAATCACTCTCTGTGTAAGTAGTATTTCCTTTTGTCTGTCCTGAACCTACTGCCCATCAGCTTCATTGGACACCCTCGGGTTCTAGTATTTTGGGAGATGGGGAAGAATTTCTCTTTGTCAACTCTCTCCATCCCATGCATAATTTTATAAACCTCTATCATGTCCCCGCTTAGTTGTCTCTTTTCTTCTTTATTTATATCCCACCTTTCTTAAAGTGGCTTACATCAGGGCTATTTTTGGGCAGGAACGCACAGGAATGGAGTTCCGGCTGGCATCAGAGTTGGCCACGCCCACTACAGCCAAAACCTCTGTGTGTGTGGCTACAGAGGGAAGGCCTGGAGAGTGACCCCCCTGGCGACTCTGAGGTGGGGGCCCGGGGGCCCCTGGCAGGATCGGGGAGGCATTTAAATGCCTCTCTGTGCCTTCCTTGGCCTGTCCAAGGGCCAGCTTGCTTGGGCTCCCCGCAGCCACGGGGCACCTGGGCAAGCCAAGGGAAGAGAGTTTAAACTGCCTTCGCTTCCCTTCAAGGGGGGGCTTGCCCAGGCAAGCCAAGGGAAGGCATGGGGTGTGGCCTAATATGCTAATGAGCTCGACTGTCAGTGGTGTGGCCTAATATGCTAATGAGTTTCTGCTGTTGGGTGTGGCCTATTATGCTAATGAGTTCCCGGTGGGCTTTTTCTACAAATAAAGCCCTGGCTTACATTGTTCTCCTTCCCTCCATTCCCTCCTTCCTATCACAACAACCCTGTGGAGTAGGTTAGGCTGAGAGTGTGTGACTGGCCCAAGGTCACCCGGTGAGCTTCCATGGCAGAGTGGGGATTCGAACCTGGGTCTCCCAGATCCTAGTCTTAACACGATACTTGTTGAGATCCTTTCCCTCCCCAAACCCTGCCTTCCACAGACTTCACCTCCAAATCTCCAGGAATTTCCCAGTCTGGAGTTGGCAACCCCATGTGGTCAGCCTCGCCTCATCTCACACAAGAGCAATTGTGGCCTCCATTTAAGATTGCACAAAGGGACCAGCATTCAAAAATTAGCACTATGCTAATGTTAACCACCATAATTAACACATCTGGGCATAGTTTCATGGATTTAATCCATTAATCTTTGACTGATTAATTGGCGGAAGCCAAGGTTAAATGGCAAGGACAAACATCTTCAAGGAAACACTCATTTAATTTGTGAAGCTTGTGGTGATTTTTATGAGTTAGAGATATTGCCAAGAAATTGTCGAAAGGCCTCTCCTTTCTGCAATATGGAAGCCTGTAAGGGTAAAAATCTATAAATCCTTAGCTGGCATTAAGAGCCACTGGGCACAGTTGGACTTACTTCTCCATACATATGAATATGACAGAGACTGCGAATCAACAAATCTAGCAGCACAGTATATTGAGGCTGCATCGTTTAATTGTTGTAATCAATCAGTCAACCTGTTAAACTTTAATTGATTAGCTGCTGGAGGCAAAAAATAGTCTGCGGAGTCCAAGATTTGGAACACATTTTGCCTGTGGTGTGGAATAAAATGGAAAAGAGCATACTATGGATCATCCCACCTGAGAGGGACCTCATCTATATATCTCTTTCCCAAATACACCCTATCTGCAGACAGTCCCCTCTAATGTTAAGGATAAAAACTGGCTCTGTTTTTGAGTGTGATGATCTAAAATCAGTATAGTTCTTCCCTATATGGGGTATAGCAGTATTCCTGAAGTTCAAGGCGTTCATTGTACTAATGTTAAGTTAGTAGACAACCTATGTATGTGTTGGTGTACATTGTTTGGATTATGTTACATTCTTGTTTATTAATATATTCAATGTTATATTTATTTAGAGCCAGTTTGGTGTAGACAGAGCCAGTTTGGTGTAGTGGTTAGGTGCGCGGACTCTAATCTGGGAGAACCAGGTTTGATTCCCCACTCCTCCACTTGCACCTGGCTGCATGACCTTGGGCAAGCCGTAGCTCTGATAACAGCTGTTCTTGAAAAAGAGCAGTTTCTGTCAAGAGCTCTCTGAGCCCTGCCTACCTCACAGGGTGTCTGTTGTGGGGAGGGGAAGGAAAAGGAGTTCGTAAGCCGCTCTGAGACACCTTTGGGTAGTGAAGGGCGGGGTATAAATCCAATCTCTTCTTCTTCTTCTTCTTTAAATTTTAAATATGTGAAAAAAATTGCAGATTGGGGCCACATTTGCACTAAACAGATTTTTCTGCAAACCTGGGTGACCCCCAAGTCTGCAGAAAAATCTAAGATCTACCAAAAAAAAAAACCCCACCGGGGGGAAGGAATCTCCCCCAAGTCAAATAATATTCTCTGCACTAGCACAGAAAACACTCTTTACTACCTACCTTGTGTGTGGCAAAACATCCTGGGGCTGCGACAGACCCAGCACAGGCAGCAGTGAAGCAGCCTGGGGTTGTGCCAGGCCTGGAGGCAGCTGCAGAGAGGCTGGGGGCCATGCTGGTGGGCCCAGAGGTGGCAACAAAGCAGCCCGGGGGCTGCACTGGGTATGGGGGCTGCGTAGCCCAGGAGTCATGCTGGTGCCACTGTCAGCAGCACTGCAGCCCCTGAGTTGCTCTGGGCCCAGCAAGAAAGTGGGGGGGAGGGATCACCCCCTGAGAGTATCGGGGTCTTGTACCTGTCCACCTTCCAAAACAGCCATTTTCTCCAGGGGAGCTGATCTCTATCATCTGGAGACCTGTTGTAGTTCCCAGAGATCTGTAGCCACCACCTGGAGGCCAGTAATTTAAACAGAAGGACCACAGTGTAGCAGTTAAGATGTCAAAGCTCCAGCACTGTATAAATTATGTTAACAATATATTCTTAATTACATATATAAATCGGACTTCAAACATTTATACAATCAAATATATATTATATTTAACTTCTTAAGAATCCAAACGAAGTATTTTTATATGTACAGAACATCAATTATATAAAGAATAAATCTCACCCGCTATTATTCAATAGGGTTTACACAAACAACATTGGAATCTTAAAGACGGCAAGACTACAAGACTACGAATAACCTTGTTTCCGATGCCTTCTTCAGGTCTTACAGCATCAAAACTGAATATGTACAATTCTAGTGTCATTTTCAGTTTGTTGACATACAATTAGCAGTTCCAAATATTTTCAAGTATTTTCATCAGAGACAGCGATCCAGTAATGGAGGGGAATCGCCCATCAAAGTTCCAAGAACGTGGCACGCAGCCTAACAGGATTCACAGCTGGCCTGATACTTAATTTGGATTCATAAGAAGTTAAATACATATTTGATTGCATAAATACTTGAAGTCCAATTTATATATAATTAAAAATGTACTGTTAATTTACATGGTGCCGGAGCTTTGACACCACCTGGAGGTCAACAACCCAGCCCCAGTGATGTTCCACAGGACAGTGAGAAATTGTACCCCCGTCTCCCAGATTCTAGCCTGACACTCTGACCCACTACACCAGAGTAGCTCTCAACAAAACATCTGGCATCAAGTAAACATCTTTAACTGATTACCCACCCCGGGGTCAATATATCTAATCTACCACTTGGGTTGTGTGCAAAGTCTCAAACTGGGAACCAATATTCAGCGTGGACAAGCGAGAGCTAGGGTCTCGACCACCGGACTTGAAAAGAGTGATTGAAATATGAGCATGCGGCAAAGGCCTACCTGGATTTTGGGATCCTGACTCAAGCCCGCCTGCTGGCAGAAGACTTCGAAGAAATCAGCGACTCCCTCCTCCACCCACAGGAGAGTCACTGACGTCTGGGTCTTATTCACGGCAAAGAGGGATCTCGGAGGAGCTGGATCTGCGATCAAGAGAAGACCCCCCCTTTAGCTGTGTCTTGTGGGCCTTCAGAGAGGCGGAGGGTATGATCGGAGCTCTCTGCCAAACCACTTTAAATGCAGAAAACGTGTGCTCTTCCCAAAGCTCGCTCAGCAATAAACGATTTGAAACAGGAAGACACTCCTAAGTAGCATGCTTTTCTTCTCCTTCCCTGTTTGTAAATGTCAAGGCTTACTTCACTTCCTTTTTCAATTGACCGGGGGAGGGGGCAAAAGATCTGGAACTTTAGCCAGACGTCTCATCTTTGCACAACTTTCTGTTAGGAGAATTCTTGCGTGTTCTGAAAGAGCAGTCACACAATAATGACCTTTATGCGCCACAAGAATGACGATCCTTCACTGTGTGGTGGTGGAATTGGAACTAGGGTTACATTTTAGGGAAGATGGAGAAGGTGTTCCCACGGATCCCACCCTGCGTTTGAGGCAGGGTTGCCTGACCCACTGGTGGAGGCGCAGGTCCACTGCCACCAGGCCCATCGTCTCACTGCCGATCAGCTGGCAAATGGGAAAAACTTACCCTGAAAAAGACGGAGACCAGCCAACACGCAGCGACGACCAGGCCCAAGTGACCTGGAAGTGACATCATCACATCAGAGACAGTCAGGCGATGCTCTGGTATTTGGGCAAAAACTCTATGGTAGAAGCCAAATTTACCATAGAGTTTTTGCCCCAATACCAGAGCATCACCCTGATATCCCGGATGTGATTATGTCACTTCTGGGTCACATGGGCAGTGATGTAGGGTCATCGCTGCGCATCAGCAGGCCCTCCCTCCTGCTCCCAGTAAGTTCCCCACACCCCCCATTGGTTGCCAGGAGTGACCTGGTGGCAACCCTAGTTTGAGGCCAGAACAAGATGTTAATGTGGCCTTGTTATCTTGAAGAGTGCAGCCAGGAGAAGCCTATTTGGGCTCTTTTTAAATAGTATACAAACAGAGAAAGTCCAAAAATTGTCGGAAAGCTTAAATGTCGTTAACATCTTCCTTCTGAGCATGAATCTACATAGAATATAACAAAAAGGCACATTCCAAGCTACCAAGCATTGAGGGAGTCCAAGACATGCTGATGCTTGAAAGTCAATGTCACTTTAGGGTTGGGAAATACCAGGAGATTATTGTGGGTAGAGCCTGGGGAAGGTGGGGTTTGGGGAGGGGAGGGACCTCAGCAGGGCTCAATGCCATAGAGTCCACCTTCCAGAGCAGCCATCTTCTCCAGGGGAACTGATCTCTGTCATCTGGAGATCAATTGTAATACTGGGAGATCTCCAGGCCCCACCTGAACGTTGGCAACCCTACTTACAACCAGTGTTCCCTCTAAGCTGAGTTAGCGTGAGCCAACTCACAGTTCTTTAGTGTCGGCTCACACAATTTTGTCTTAGCTCAGGAAGGATGGCTCCAGAGCAAACTAATGTATGCAGTAGCCGAATCGCTCGCTCACAACTTTAATGCCAGTAGCTCACAAAGTAGAATCTTTGCTCACGAGACTCCACAGCTTAGAGGGAGCATTGCTTACAACCAAACTGCCCAGAGGCATGTCCCATACATGAGGGATATCTCTTGGAACTGTCTGCAGGCACAATCAGGACCTTCAAAGGTTCCCTTCCTTCAGCCTCAGCCTCAAAATCTCCAGGCATTTTCCCAACCCAGAGCTGGCACCCCTACTACTAGCAGTCCTGGGCAATTCCAAAGCCCACTTAACACTGTACACAATCAGAAAGAAACAAGTGCTGGTGAAAATGACAGCCTCGCTACACACCAATGCTCCTTCTAAGCTGTGGAGTCTGGTGAGCAAAAATTCTACTCGGTGAGATACTGGCATTAAAGTGGTGAGTGAGCAATTTGGCTACTGCAGAAATTAGTTTGCTCAGGAGCCATCCTTCCTGAGCTAAGACAAAAATGTGTGAGCCGGAGGCTAAAAAACTGTGAGCTAGCTCACACTAACTCAGCTTAGAGGGAACACTGTTCCACAGCCAACCCTCTGTAACCTTCTGAAATACAGCAATTTTTTTTCATTCCAGATATGGCTGCTGAAGAGCAATAAATTCTCTGTCAATGTTATTCCCAGTTTCTTGACAACATTGAGACTGCAAAGATCACTTCCTTTGTTTTTCCTGAGGATTGAACTGTCAACCTTTTGTAATCAGAGAGCTAAGCCCCTCACCCCCACAAGTACACCTATGAAGAAAGGGTAAGGCATTTCGGGCTCTTTAGCTTGGAGAAACGATGGCTGAGGGGCACTGTTCCCTCTAAGCTCCAGAGTTTTGTGAGCAAAAATTCTACTTGGTGAGCTCCTGGCATTAAAGTGGTGAGCGAGCGATTTGGCAGCTGCATAAATGAGTCTGCTCTGGAGCCATCCTTCCTGGGAGAAGACAAAAATGTGTGAGCTGGAAGCTAAAAAACCGTGAGCTAGCTCACACTAACTCAGCTTAGAGGGAACACTGCTGAGGGGTGACATGATCGAGGTTTACAAGATTATGCATGGGACAGAGCAGGTAGAGAAAGAGGTACTTTTCTCCCTTTCTCACAATACAAGAATTCATGGGCACTCCATGAAATTGCTGAGCAGTCGGGTTAGAATGGATAAAAGGAAGTCCTTCTTCACCCAAAGAGTGATTTAACACATGGAATTCACTGCCACAGGAGGTGGTGGCAGCTACAAGCATGGACGGCTTCAAGTGGGAAGGATAAACATATGGAGCAGAGGTCCATTGGTGGCTATTAGCCACCAGGTATAGATAGGAACTCTCAGGCTGGGGCAAGTGATGCTCTGTATTCTTGGTGCTTTGGGAGGGGGGGCAACAGTGGGTGGGCTTCTAGTGTCCTGGCCCCACTGGTGGACCTCCTGACGGCACCTGGTATTTTTGGCCACTGTGTCCTTAATGGGGACCCAAAAAAGCTTACATCATTCCCCTGTCCTCCATTTTATCCTCACAACAACCCAGGGAGATAGGTTAGGCTGAGAGAGTGTCACTAGCCAAAGGTCATTCAGTATGTTTCCATGACATGAGTGGGGATTTGAACTTGAGGCTCCATCACTCTTAACTGCTGCATCACACTAGCTAAGTGCCTTTGGTGGGATTCCTAAAAATTCCTGCTGGTCACTGATAACTTTGGTTTTATTCACATTTATTTTAGGATGTAGTTCTAAACAACCAAAATGCATTCCATTAATATTCTGCAATTTCAGTTCTACATCAGCTCTTAACTGCTGTCTTAGCCGCAGAACTGAGCCATTTCCTTCCCTCTTGCCTGAATCCACTACAGTTTGTTTCATTTTATTAATTGCATCCTCTATAAATATTTCAAACAGTACAGAGGAGATTGAAGTTTTTACTGGTTTTGGCTCTTTGCTTAGTATCATGCACTCTAATTACATCTTCCTTTTAATTTATACACACACACAAACACACACACACGCACATATACACCTTCCGCCCTCATAATCTGTTCTAGTCTTCTGGAAATACAGGAAGCTTTTTATTCCAGATAACTGTTGAAGGCTTTTTGTAGGTCGATAACTTTTATATAAATATGGTTTCCAATTTCATCTTTTCTCAGCCAATATTGTTTGCAGGAGAGGTTCCCTTCTTTGTTCCCGAAAAACAAAAATCCTCTTGTAAGGGTTTATTTTATTTTACTGTGGGTTAGTTTTGTTTGATAATATGGATAGGAAGGAAGGAAGGGAAAGACAGACGGAAGGAAGGAAGGAAGGAAGGAAGGAAGGAAGGAAGGAAGGAAGGAAGGAAGAAAGAGAGAGAAAGAAAGAAAGAAAGAAAGAAAGAAAGAAAGAAAGAGAAAAGCTGCAACAAATCCATCTAAATCAACTTGGCCTTTTAAACTTTTCTTTAAAATATAATAATCTGTTCCCCATTGGGTCTAACATGCTTATAACGTGCATTCATCTTCACCTTTGTGAGTACAAAGATTATGGCAATCTTCTTGTGCTCACAGGTTTGTGACATTGGTGTACATTTGGTCAACTGCTGGTTGTTGTATATTCAATTTTGGAGGCTTCCATTTTTTTGTTTCTTTTGTCGTGCGTCCATCAAGTTCAGCTGAGCATGCTACAAACACACTTTTTTGTTTTTTAACATGTAGCCTAACAAAGAGTTCTGGAGAACTTGAAAACTTGCATTTTTGTGGGGGCCATTTAGCTTAAGCTTAATGAAAAGTATTATGTAGCTTTTGTTTTTTAGACTTCACTTTGGACATCTTCAACCAATTACACCCTCTATACTTTTAATAGATTCTATTAGATAAACTTGACATGAATGGAAGAAAACAGGGTGAGTGGGGATATGGAACCACATGGAATCTTCTCAAGCTTTCAGATCTCAGGTTGTGATCTCAAGTTTACCGCTACATTTCCTCATCTTTGTAGGGTTTTTTCCTATTCTTTTTTAAAAATCCAAGCTCAGTTTTCCTAAATTGCATTAGCTGTAGCAATCTTGCCAAAGTGTAAATGGCCAGAGGTCATTTCGGGGGGGAACGCGGGGGAACACAGTTCCCCCGGGTGAGGTGCAGGGGGCGGGGCACATGACGAAGCCCCGCCCCCTGCTTCCGGCCGCCCTGCTTCCAGCCCTCATTCAGCCAGGAGGAGGCAGGAGAAGAGGGAGGGTAAGTTGCTTCCTCCCCGCCTCTCCCCACCCCTGCCTGCCTGGGGCCAGGGAGGGCCTTGACGGGGCTTCCTCGCACTCCCGCTGGCCTTGCAGGTCCACCGCCGGGCCCCTGATGTCAGGGGGTGTGGCATATGCTAATGAGTTATGCTAATGAGTTCCCCTAGCTCTTTTTCTACGAAATGACCCCTGTAAATGGCCATAAGGGTTACCAACTCTGGGATGGGAAAACCTAGAGATTTAGGGGGAGAAGTGGGTTTGAGGAGGGAAGGAACCTTGGTGGGGTATAATGCCAAAAAGTCCACCATCAGAAGCAGTCATTTTTTCTGTTATGATCTCTGTCATCTGGAGATCAATTGTAATTTGGGGAAATCTCCATGCCCCACCTAAAGGCTGGCAACCCCAGATCTCACATTGGTTATAACTCACAACTCAAAAGTGTGACTTACCAATTTTCACAAGTTGTAGTGCTGAGGTGTTGCTTCCTGTTTCTGTACAAGCAGTCACGGAGAGGTTGTAGACGTCTCCGGGAGGCACGTTCAGGACTGCAGTCATAACATTCCGTGTCACCTACAAAGGGTTAAACATGATCCATACAGGGGGTTAAGCATGATCCACACAGGGTGCTCAGTAACACAGAAGACCAAAACAAGAACTATGGACCTTGTAAATGGGAGTGTGTTGACAGGAAATGCAAGAGAATTATTCTTCTGTCCTGACTTCTTCAGGACATCAGCCGGTTTGGTGTAGTGGTTAAGAGCAGCGGACTCTAATCTGGAGAACCGGGTTTGATTCCCCACTTCTCCTCCACATGAAGACAGCTGGGTGACCTTGAGCCAGTCACAGTTCTCTCAGAGCTCTCTCAGCCCCAACTACCTCACAGGGTGTCTGTTGTGGGGAGAGGAAGGGAAGGTACCACTATACAGAAATACAAACATAAGCTCATATCGTTACAACCGCTCAACCCCCGAAGGGCTCTGAGCTGTTTACATAGTACAATTTAATTGCATTACCTCACTAGGGCCACACATTAAGGGGAAATGACTACCTATTAGGCACCCGTGGCAGGGTCTTGGTTGTTGTTTCTGCGGAGGTTCTTAGTCCTGGGTGGCGACGTCTCGGCGGTGTGGATACACGAGCGGTGAGATGAGTTTTTTTAAGAGGAATTATAAACATATATCCGGACCATGTATTTTTGAGTTCCTGACTATTATATTGTATTTTTGAAAAACTACTCTATATAGGTTTAGATTATCATTATCGTTATCAGGGGTCATTTCCTGCAGGAGCGCACAGGAGCGGAGCTCCGGCAGTAAAGAGCCCAGGGGGCGGGCACATGCAACAAGCCCCGCCCCCTGCTCCCAGCAGCCCCGGGCCACGAGGAGCAAGAAGCAGCCAGGTAAGTTGCAGAGCCCCCCCTTGATAGCAATCCAAAACAGATAGATAGCAATCCAAAACAATCTCCCTCCTCTGTGAGGGCAGATCTGTGTGGGAACCCCCCCCCCCAGCTAGCGATCCAAAACAGTCCAGTGGAGCTTGAGCAGTGGGTGTTGCCTTCTGACACACTTCCAGTGATGTCAGGGGGTGTGGCATATGCAAATAAGCTATTATTATTATTATTATTTATTTGATTTCTATCCCGCCCTCCCGCCGAAGCTATGCTAATCAGTTATGCTAATGAGCTCCTACACCTCTTTTTCTAGGAAATGACCCCTGATCATTATCATTATCATTATTATTCTCATTGAATGCTGAATATCTATTTTTCGTTATTCATGCATGGTCTGATCTTCTGTATCTTTTGTATTACTCACTCCTGTCCATCCTTCTCTGCTGTTTGGATGTTTCCTATAGCAGCAGGGGCCAAACAAACAATTGAGAATGATGATCTCAACTCTCCAAAAGACAAAATAGGGACAAAGTAAGAACACTGATTTATTAGTGACAGATACCAGCGCACATGGGCCAGCCCTGGTAAATCTATACATATTTTTCCTATCTACGCAGAAGGGTTGGTAGAGGATATGAAATATTTATGGGAGGAAAAAATAGTAAAAGAAAATATCCATCACGAGTTTTGCTTGTCTGGATGCAGTGGTAAACAAAGGAAGGAACATACAAGGTGTCCGTGCTTACGCTCTTTTTGATCTTTTTCTTCCCTTCGGCTATAACCATCCAGTGGAGCATCCTAGAATGAGAAAGGTCCGTGTTGTCATCTCCGTATGTCCAGCTGACGTAGAGAAGGTTATTGAAATACTCGACAGAGGTGATTTCAGGGGCCACCGGAGCTATCGGGAAGGGAAACAGAGGCGTTACAAATGGGATCCACATTGTTATGTTTCTTAAATTATCGTTGGTGTTTTCTGCATCTCTTTTCGAGCGAGCAAAGTGTTTCGTAATGTTTATTCCCTGTGAATGACCCTGTGAAATAGGCAAGGATGTGTGCGTTAAGGCTGCGAAAGGACAGCATTTGAAATTCAGAGCTCAGTATCTTGCAAGTCTGCCTTCTCTTTTATTTAAAAACTTAAGTTCCTAGCCCCTGTTGCTGAAGCAAGATGAGCCTGGGGTGGGGTGTGGGGTGTAAGCAGTGCTTGGTAAGTACTCAGATGCCGGTGAGAATAAGCAGACTTTCTAGTAAAGTGGATGGTGTTTGTTCGATATTTTTTGTCCATTCCCACAGCTCTTAGTCTAGGGATGCCAGCCTCCAGGTGGGACCAGGGGATCCCCGAGAATTATACCTCATCTCCAGACAATAGAGAACAGTTCCCCTGAAGAAAAATGGATGCTTTGGAGGGTGGACTCTTTGGTACTGGACTCCACTGAGGTCCCTGTCCTCCCCAGGCTCCATCCCCAAATCTCCAGGAGTTTCCCTACCTGGATCTGGCAACCCTACCCCCCATGCCCCACCAGTGGCCAGGGGGGATGACCTGCCAACCCTCATCTCAGCCCAAGGGTTTGATAACAAATCTCCAGAAATATTGTGCAAAAACCCATATGGAGAAACCGCTTAGCATTGCCACAGTCCTGTACTGTAGCCATTTTGAGACATGAGGAGGAAAATAGCTGTTTACTAAGCTCAATTCTAAGCCATCCCCTCAAATGGCTGTGGCCCCGCCCCCAGCGTGCTCGGCGTCATGACGTCACTTGCCTGTGACATGCACGTGGGGGTGGAGTTTCCCCCGGGGCCCGATTCCACGGGGGCGGAAATCGGGCCTCCAAAGCGGGGGGAAATCCGCCCCCCGGGGGGAATTGGCAGCCATAGCCCAACATTCAAACTACATCTGACATTTGGGCATCCATAATTAGGAGGACTGCCAACCTCCAGATGCTGGCTGGAGATCTCCTAGAATTACAACCGGTCTCCAGGTGACAGAGATCAGTTGCTCTGGAGAAAATGGCCACTTTGGAAGATGGACTCTATATGGCATTATAACCCACTGAAGTCCCTCCCTTCCTCAAAACATGCCCTCCTCTGGCTCTATCCCAAAAATATCCGGGGATTCACCAACTCAGAGCTGGCAACCTCTGGCATGAAATTTGGCCTCAAAAAAGCATCTGCAGTGAGGCTGATACAGATTGGTGCCACAGGATGGGTGGAGATGTTCACAGGTTCTCCTGCATCTGTTCTCTAACTGAAACAGCCCCCTCAGCTGCTGTTAGTCTGGTAATAGGGAAACTTTTAAAAAGACACTTGTGTTGTTTCCATCTGTTTTCCCTACTAGGGCTACAAACCACTGGGGCAGTTTTGATCATAGATTCTACAAAGAGGGAAGACCTAAAAACTCCATATACCCTTCTCCTATGTAGCTTCTTTTTGAATCTAAACTACACAACGGGGGATCCAGTGGTATATCTCCAGTGACCAGTTGATCCCCAAGTAGGATTGCCATCTCTGGATTAGGAAATACCTGGAGATTTTGGGGGTGGAGCCTGAGGAGGGTGGGGTTTGGGGAGGGGAGGGACTTCAGTGAGGTATAATGCCATAGAGTCCACCTTCCAAGGCAGCCATTTTCTCCAGGTGACCTCTGTTGCGTGGAGATCAGTTGTAATCCCAGGAGATCTCCAGCCACCACCTGGAGGTTGGCAACCCTATCCCAAGGGTGGGTTGTTGTTTGGATTTTTTTTAGAACAGGAAATACAAACACGCTCTCTCTCAAAGAGGACCTTTTAAATATCTTCCTGTGGGTTTTTTTCTGTCTTGGGAAAAACACCTTTCTGCTCACTTAGTTATGAGCTCTTCTGACTGGAAGCTCGTAAAAATATGAGCTGGGATTCTGCCTCAGCTTCCGCAGACGCATTACTGAAGTAACCTGTCAGGATTTCTTCACACGCACGCTTGAACAGCTGTTCTTTATACACTCTCAGGAGAGCTACAACAAGCACATTACCTTCACACAGCGCAAGCTGCTCTGGAGACAAACAATGCATAAAAATGACTGTCACAGAGGTACGAAGGAGATGGTATTAATGGCCAAAGAATATCGAATGTCATCCATCTGGTGATTTCAGGGCTGCCAGATTTGTGTGTGTGTCCTTCATATGGGCACCAGATACAGCCAACAATAAGAAAATAGTTAGGGTTGCCAGCCTCCAGGTGAGGCCTGGAGACCTCCTGGTTCTACAGTTGATCTCCAGACTACAGAGACCAGTTTCCTGGTTAAAATGGCTACGTTGTAGGATAGGCTCTATGACACGGTATCCTGCTGAGGTCCCTCCCGTCCCCAAATCCCAGCCTCCCTAGGTTCCACCTCCAAAATCTACAGGTATTTCCCAACCCAGAGATGGCAGCCCAAAAAAACAGTACTTCTTTGGGGGATTTTCTTTTTCCTTCATTGACCCTGTACAGACTTCAAGAAGAATATGAGGAGCTTTGGATGTTATGTCTAGGAAGGAGCGACAGGAAGTACCTATGATCCACACTTCCTGTCCTCTACTCATCCTTCAGTGCCATCCTTAATTGGCTTTGAAGGCACCACGACCACTGGCTCCTCCCCAGATAGGGGCTCTGGGGCAAGTGATGCTCTGTATTCTTGGTGCTTGGGGGGGGTCAACAGTGGGAGGGCTTCTAATGTCCTGGCCCCACTGGTGGACCTCCTGATGGCACAGGTATTTCTGGCCACTGTGTGACACAGAGTGTTGGACTGGATGGGCCTTTGGCCTGATCCAACATTGGTGTCTCTTATGTTCTTATGTTCTTAAGGTATAACTCCGTTTAGGATTGCACTGCTTGTAATGGTGACTGAGGGGAACTGCCACATTCAGAGGCACTAATCCTCTGAATCTAGGGTTGCCAAGTGAGAATTGAGCCGCAGCGGGGGACACCATAGAGTTTTCCCTCGGATGACTGTGGCCCCGCCCCCAGCGTGCCCGGCGTGGTCGTGTCACTTCCGGGTGACGTGCACGTCGGGGTGGAGTTCCCCCTGGGGCCTGATCCGCCGCTGGCAGGGAATGGGCCTCTGGGGCGGGGGTTTCCCCGCCCCCTGGGGGGACTTGGCAAGCCTATCTGAATCCCAGAGCCAGGAGGCAACATCAAGGGAAGTCCTCGGCCTCCATGCCCTGTTGTTGGCAGTCCAGAGGAACAGGTTGGCCACTGTGTGAGACAGGATGCTGGACTAGATGGACCACTGGTCTGTCCCAGGAGGGCTCTTCTTCTGTTCATAATGTCTCTTACAGGTGGCTCCTAAAGGGCATCAGGTAAATTCATGGAGGATAGGTCCATCAGCAGCTGTTAGCCATGATCGCTGAACAGCAGGGCTGGCGTCAGTATAACTTCAGGTAAGGCACCTACCAGGGCCCAGGGCTTCTGGCAGGTCCCACTGCCACCGGGCCCCCGCCCCACACGCCTCCTCTGCCACCTGCCCACATACCCTTCCCTTTCCTCACCCATGTGCTTGCAAGTGTTTTACCTCCTGTGCTCCTAGCTCCCTGGGCACTGCCGGAGTGTGCAGATGGTGACAGTCACAGCTGCACCAACCTCCCAGTGCCGCTGGGGAAAGAGCATACAGGAAGAGGTCACAAGCAGGCAGGGGAAGTAGCATCGCCAGGGTTGGGAATTACCTGGAGATTTGGGGGGAGGGCAGGTTCAGGGAGGGGGGGAGGGACTTCAGTGGGGTATAATGTCACAGAGTCCACCTTCCAAAGTAGCCATTTTCTCCAGGTGATCTCTGTCTCCTGGAGATCTCTTGTAATAGCAAGAGATCTCCAGCCACCACCTGGAGGTTGACAACCCTAAGAGGAAGGATGCACAGGCAGGTGGGGGCAGGAAGGGAGCTGTGAGCAGGGTCCTGGTAGTGGGAATAGGAGGGGAGAAGGGGCCCAGAGCACTCTTTGTCCAGGGCCCATTAAAACCTCAAACCAGCCCTGCTCAATGGTACTCCCCCCCCACACACACACTTTCAGAGGTAATAATCCTCTAAATACAAGTGCTGGGAGGCCACTCCTATAGAGAGAGTTTGGCCTCTGTGCCCTGCTTGTAGGCCCTCTGGGGCAGATGTTTGACTTCCACATGGAAAATGGTGCTACCATAGATAGACCACAGATGGGCTGTACCTGCAGCTTCCTGATGGGGCAAGTAATGCCCACCAGGCCATTTCAGATTGAGAAAATGGTGCCGGTAAAGGTTGGAATCTAATTTTCTCGCACACCATGGTCCCAATCAAAATTAGGGCCCCAAGTACTTGGTAAACAAGTTCCCTCCCATTTCACATGCAATTTCCTGAGTTAAGGTCCAATCAGGGGAACTCAGACACAATACATAATGTGTAGTCTGGCCATTAGCTAGCAATGAGAAGAATGACCTTCATATTGTCTTCAACACTGGTGCAAAAACCACTGGCCAAGAATATGATGCTGTGATGGACCATCAAGGGTTAATGCCTAACAGAGTCTGAGAACCTCTGAGTGACAGGCTCTTTTACTGGACTTCTGTTGAAAGAGTCAGTTAAAGAATGACAGTTGGGGACTGACAGTTGAAGAAGAGACACTTAGGCACTGACTGTGGACTGTGAAGGAGGCTAAGAGAATGAGTGAATCAAGGAGGATCCCCATTCAAGTCAAAAAAAGGTAAATAGCTTCCAGTAAAGAGAAGTGATCTCTGACCCTTTAAGAAGGGAAATAGCTTCCAGAAAAGATGAGAGATTTGGATATATTGAACCTGAAAAATAGCGGTATTTCCCAATATTCACAAATCCCAAAGAACCCTGAATATTTCTCAAATCCGAGAAATATTCGGGATGCCCAATTTTTTTTGGTAACTCACCACTTGGAGAAAATGTTCAAACACCTTCTCACCACTTGCGACTCCATTCACATGGCGCTACTTGCAAAAGCCAATAAATGTCTTTTGCAAGCAGCAGCACCCAAATTGAGTCCCAAGCAGCAAGTTCACCCAGAACTCATTGCATGGGACTCCATTCGCTCAGAACTTCTGTTTGGTTATGCCGAATGCACACTCTTAGACCTTGTTGAATAGCTGAAACACTTTTTGGCAACAAATTATCCGGTGTTTGTGTGAATACAAAGTGGCCTCCGTTTTATTATCTGTTCACCTCATACATCCTGCACCTAATTCCACCTGACCTTTTCTCCTCCAAGTTCAATAACACTTTTTGTTTATTTGGAACTTTCAAAAGCCTCTTGTGTGCCATTTCACAAGCAGAATATGGGAAGGTAATTTTGTCTCTTCCCTTGGTTCTCTGGGCTGGGCCAGCATAAAACACACACACAAAACCGACTGGATAGGACAGCCGTAGACAGACAAACAAGAAGAAAATAGATAAAGCAGCTGCTCAGCAAGAAAGAAGACAGAAGAGAAAATCCTGCGTGTGAAAGAGGGAAGGGGGCGAGATTGACATGGATGCCTACCTCGATATCTGACTGCATAACTGAGTGGCAGCAGAGGACAGTCTTTTACTTCATTTTGAGCAACTGCTTTCCAGCAAACCTGCAGCAGTTAACAACGTGGTGAGTCAGCAAAGACAGACTGCTTTTTAGCTGCAGCCAGTTTGCTACAATTCTCTGAAGGACTCAGGAAACTATTATTATTTTTAAAGAAAATTTTACCTTCAACTCACCATGTCTCTGTTTACCTGTTATGAAGCTGATGGTGGAGCTGTCGCAACAACTCAGTTCAGGGTCTCCCCACGTCACCATCGTCACCCGAAAGTTATAATACCAGGCAGGTAGCAGGTTGCCTATTCTCTAAAACATTTAAAACAATAGCAGGGATATCGTATTAGCACCTGAAGAAGTGGGATCCACAGTGACATTAAGGGTTTGGGTTTGACCAAAAATCCTGGCTCCATTGCTCTCTTTTTCTCTCCCGATCTTTAATAGATATTAAGATGAGTGGTGGAAAGTGCTGTCAAGTCGCAGCTGACGTACGGTGACCCCACAGGGTTTTCAAAGCAAGAGAGGAAAAGAGGTGCTTTGCTGTTGCCTGTTTCTGTGTAACAACCTTGGACTTCCTTGGTGGTCTCCCATCCAAGTACTAGACAGGAGCCAACCCAGCTTAGCTTCTGAGATATAACAAGTTCTGTATGATGATAATGAACTGTATGATGCACTGACACGGGGATGCCTGTGAAAACAGCAGCCTTGCGTCAAGTTCCTCTGTCTGTAATATGTACACCTTGCTAGGGTCTGGCTGGACTACTATAAGCATTTCTGCCATTCTCTTATACATCCCCAGCCTCACCTGTTGTGGGCGGAGAAATGCCCAGAGTTAGGACCATCAGGGCATGAAGTCAGAGTGGGAGGAAGGACACGCTGCTGCTCTTTTTGGCAGGAGACCTGCGTTTTCAGTCCCGTGGAGTTCCTCCCTAAGACAGCAAACGCTTGACTTCCGTGTAGTGTAAATTAGTGCCAGGGACTGTGCAAAACACCAAATGATGTATTTCCTATACAGAAGGAGGGCTCTTCTTTAATGAGGCGAGGCGAGCTGGTGGCTTCGGCCTGCGGATTTTGGAGGTGGCAGCCTTCTCCTCCCGACCTCCCCTGCTGCCACCTACGCCTCGTTGCTTCCTCACCCTCAGCCCCTACCCTGGAGTCACCAATGCTTCATTCCTCCTCATCTTCCCAGCATCTTTAGAAACCACACAGTTGACTGCACGTGTCCAATAGACCTTCTGGAACTCTCACGCCCTATTAGAAATGTGCAGCTTGCTGTGAAGTGTTTAAAGAAGCCAAAGGACTGAGGAAGGAAGGAGCATTAGCTGCTCTGATTCAGGTAGGGTCCCTCCTGGCAACCAGTGGGGGATCGGGGGGGACTTACTGTGAGCAGGAGGGAGGCCCAGCTGAAGTTTCAGTGACGTGTTTATGTCACTTCTGATGTGGCCCAGAAGTGACATCATAGGGTTGCCAAGTCCGTTTTTCGTTGCGGCGGGGGGCTCCTGGACGGCGTCCCGAGCGCGAGCGCGCCGCATGCACATCA